TTGTTGTTTTTTCCAATAAGTCCTCATCTGTGATAGTGTCTCCACATAATTTTAATAGAGAACTTACTTTAAAGATAGCAGAATTATACTCACTTACGGTTTTAAAGTCTTGCAACCTTAAATGTATCCACTCATACCGAGCTTTCGGTAATACCGTAAGTTTTAGGTGGTCATATCGATCCTTCAAATTAATCCATAATTCAAGTGGATCTTTTACGGTTAAATATTCAGTTTTTAACCCTTCATGTAGATGATGACGAAGGAAAATCATGGCCTTCGCTTTATCCTGATTTGATGCTTCATTTCCTTGTATAATAGTATTTCCAAGACCTTTAGCGTCAAAGTGAATTTCAGCATCAAGAACCCATGATAAATAGTTCCTCCCGGTGATGTCAAGTGCCACAAATTCAAGTTTTGATAAATTTGACATAGTGAAAACTATCATAAAAGATGAATAAGTTAGAGAAATAATTATAATAATAAACAATTAATGAAAACAAAACGATTAAGGTAAAAGAAATGAAAATAGAGCTATATCATGTTAACAATCTACTATTTCATTTTATTCTTGCCATAAAGTAGAAATTACATACTTGTTTCATTTCACTTTATATTATTGATATATATGTGTTAATAGAACTGAACGTGACTAACATTATTTATATGTTCCAATAAATATAAAGTAATTAAACTATAAAATTATTGCTTGTCAATTTATTTCTCACAGTTCTTCAAAATGTTTTAAAGATATGTTTTGATCTAGGGAGTCCATGAATATTATAAGTATGACATTAGTGCATAGCTAGTTTGATGACTTTGAGGTCCTCTAAGAGTTGAGCACGGAAGGAAATAGTTATTTTATCACTGCAATGTACTTAAACTATTTAAGATGTCCAAACGCACAAGTAATCTGCAAACAATGAGCATATGATATGTACTGCCATAAATAAGATGATTATAATGATACATACCTTAATAAAATATGACTCAACTTAGCGGGAGTTAAGAATAAAATTAGAGCTTCGTGCTGATAACGTGTTATAAAATAAAAGCAATGCAGTAAAATGTAAACAAGAAGAGATAGAGAGAATGGAGAAGTGTTTTCTTCTTTCACTTTGGTGTAATTTTTCATTGCAATTACATGGCCTTTTATATGCATAAAAAGTAAAGATGATAGACATAAAATAGGAAATTTAATCTTTAAGTTATTTACAACTTGGGCATCCAATGAAGCATCTAACGTAGTATCCAATGTAATATCCAAAGTAGTATCCAATGTACAAACTATTCATAACAAAAAACTTATTATGAACAAAATGATTTTACATTCACATCCTATGCCATCGAACAGCTGCTGATTTCCTATGCGGATTTTTTTTGAGAGATTGCTTCACTAGAGTTCTAACAATGATGTATTAAAAATTTCAAATTCCGACAATAAAAAGAAGTGCAATGCATTAAGCTCCAGTTATGCGCAGAGTTGACTATAAGAATCTATTGTACGAGCCTTATCCTGTATTTTTGCAAGAGGCTATTTTCACTTCGGAGAAGGGCGGGACCACAAGAATCTATTGTACGCAATCTTACCCTGCATTTCTACAAGAGACTATTTTCATCACTCGAACCCGATGCTATTTTCACAGCTCCAACCCGTGCCCCTTCTCAAAAAATAAAAAATAAAAAATTAAATTCAAATTAAGACAAATTGATAGAAAAACGTCATGTTCCATTATAATGGGGAATGTAGGCTAACAACCCACTAAACTTTGTGCTATTTGTAATCGGATAATTTTTTATTTTTCACATACAAACAAAGACATACTAATTTTTAAAAAGTATTTGAATAATATCATCTTTGCGAAGGGCCATTTCTAATCTTCTCTTTATTGTTCCAATTTTATGGGATGTCCCAAAGACACAATGACGGGCAGATTTCAAATGCTAGTAGTTGTTTGATAAAATGCCCTAAAGAACTCAGGAGACAGTCAAGAAAGTGTGCAGGAAAATGGCTTACCTCAACCTCAAATGATAAGTGCACAAACTCAAACAATGTGAAAGTACCATGTAGTCTGTGTACAACAGAAAAATTTCTGCTTCAAAAAAAAGAAGAAGGGGGTGTCCTAGTCTTTTTGATTTTTTTACGAAATGCGAGCTGAGGTCAGATTTAATCCTTTGGTTGTATAATAGCTGCAGATGAGGCCAATTTTGTGCATTTGAGGGTAAGTGACATCACTTTACTGAATCCTATATTGAATTTATTCCAAAAATTCTGGAAAACTCTGACATTAGTCAAACTTCAAGTTTCTTGTTTCAGCGGGAATTTTGGATGATTGTGGACTGCCATTTATGTCAGTGGCGTACGCGGGGATTAGTACAAGCGGTGAGAAATTTTAGGTCCGGAGTTGTGGATAAGTATTTATTTTGGTATTTTAAATTGAGTTTCTGTTGTGCACAGATGTATGTAGAAACAAATTGTTGTTCTCGTGGTTCGAGTTGAACAATTGATCAAAATTGCCTATTTCTTTTTTATCTCATTATCTCCTGTCAACACTTGTTGATAATCGTCATTAATACACTTCACCTCGTTTAAGTCCTTTGGTGAGCGTTGGAGAACAAATGAAGTCATAACTAAATATATAAATGCCATAAAAGACATGTATGCAGGAGCCTTGACTAGCGTGAGAACATACTAAGCGATACAAAGGAGTTCTCCATAATTACGGGTTTACACTAGGGATTGGCATTGAGCACGTACTTGTTTACGTTAATTATGGATGAGCTAACCAACACAAGATGAGGTCCCATGATATATGTTATTTGCTGATAATTGACGAAACCGCGAGGATGTAAACCAAAAGTTTGAGCTATGGATAAGCGCTCAACATAGTAAGTTTTTTTCGATAAGTAGAAGTAAGACTGAATGTATGTATTGCAAGTTTAGCCGGCATAAGAAGAGTGACGTTGAGGTGATATTAGACTGGATTTTGGCTCCAAAATGCAAACAATTAAGATATCTAGGCTCGTTGTACAATAGCTGCAGATGAGGCCAATTTTCTAGTCATTGGTTTGGCCCTCCACTATCTCTGAAGTCTGAACCATGAGAGGCATGAGATCATCAAATTTGGAACTCATGTTAAGACCTTTTTACCTTTTCCAAGGCTGTTTTGCTAGAAAGTGCATTATACGTGACATCACTTTACTAAATTTTATATGGATCCATTCCAAGAATTCTGGAAATCTCTGGCATTTGTCAAGCTTCAGGTTTCTTGTTTTAGCAGGAGTTTTGGATTATTGTGGACTGCCATTTATGTCAGTACCGTATGCGAGGATTTGCAAATGTGAAGTCTTAGGTGGCACTATAGAGTTTTGAGGTTTACCTTCTTATATAGAGAATTTTTTCAGTGAAGCAGTTTCGAATGACCCAATGATACCTACTGTATATACACATTGTTTTTCAAAAATAAAATAAAATTATATACACGGACAGAATTAAACTATTAGGCGAAGCTGTGTTGGATGACACCACTTGATTCTAACTGTCTTTGCCGCTGCTGCCATTTATGTTACTAGGTTCTTTTATTTGCCTTGACATATTTTTATTGGAACTGATATGATATTGATGTGAGTTCTTCGTTTAAATTCTTAAAACATACAAAAAGTAATAGTGACCAAAAAAAAAAAAAAANTTCAGCGACTGCTGCCATTTATGTTACAAGGTTCTTTGATTTGCCTTGGCATATTTTTATTGAAACTGATATGATATTGATGTGAGTTCTTCGTTTAAACTCTTAAGATATACAAAAAGTAATAGTGACCAGAAAAAAAAAAAAAAAAATAGACAAATCCGTATTGAATAATCCAGCGAGGATACATACCCATAGTGGCCAGATATTTTGCTACGGGTGTTTGAAATTTAATATATATGTATGAGAAGTAATACTTGACCAATATATACAGGTTAATTTTCCGGCAAAGGCCGTTTAACTGACCATCTGTGAGCCCATGGACTCCGCCATTGCATACCCATAAAGGAGTCCATATGGCATACGTAGCAAGCTGACGTTGTTCAGGTTATTTAGTATCACTAATGTAGGTTCATGATTTAAGGCTCCTCATGGTTGCTATATATTACACCCAGTGCAAGGCAAATGTACGTACTTGGATCTATTGCGTCATTAACCTTTGACAGTCATTATCCAAAGAAATGATATGAGGAAGCTAGCTGTTAGCAGACGAAAAAGGTGGCTTCTTGAACTGAAAGGGCGACCATTTCTTCATTTTCAGCAAGAAATGCACTTCAAATTTGCAGATTTTGTTTGTATATGGCTATATTGACATTCCCCCACGGCTTTGGTCTAGTGGTAACATTGCAATATGTGATTAGTGGGTTAGGTGCACGTCACGGATAAAAGCCTAGGATTTAATTGGATAAGGGTAGAGGGGCAGGCCCACTGTCCATTGAGTTTCAAACCTTGCATCACTGGCCCTTGGCGATTTGTTGGTTATTTAGAAAAAGGCTATATAGATACAGATATATAGTGGGGTATCAGTGGAATTAGTCATAGATCCATCCTATTGGTTCTTCTCTGAGCATTGTGGGAAGAAAGTCGAACTGGCTGAGTCTGAAGTGGGGTTTAATCAATCTTGGAATCTTGAACTAAAATGGATAAGACAACAGCATCAGCTCAAGGACCAACATCACCAGCTGAGGAGCTGCTAAAGAAGATCCAAGAACTGGAGGCAGGGCATGCCCAGTTGAAGCAGGAGATGTCTAAGCTCATGATTTCTGAGGATCACAGATTACAGAGACAAAGGTCCCATTCAATCTTCCCACAACGGCTGCCTCGTCTTATGGATGGTGGTGGTTTTGATTGTGGTGCTGCGGCTGTCTGGAAAAGGGGGTCAACCTCTTTCCAGCATGCTTCACTATCACAAAGAGAGAGTAGTAATAAAGGGGTGGAAGACAACAGTAACGGTAGAGCTGCTGCAGTGAAGTTTACTGATAGACACTACTTTAATATATTACAGTCAATGGGACAATCAGTGCATATATTTGATGTCAACTGTCTTATAATTTACTGGTGAGTAATTGAAACAGACTTCCTATCTTTTGCCTTTTCATTTTTCCTTTTTTTTCATCCGGACTTGGGAGAGAAAAGAAGTGGGTGGAAGAGATTGAGCTTGTGTCTGTAACTATCTGAGTTTGCTTTTTAGTTAGTTAGTAAAATGTTGCATCAGTGAACACTAAACACTTTGTACAGATAGATGGAACATTTTATTTGGCGTTAGTTAGACCTTATTGGTGCTTGTCACGTTTGTTCAATGTTGTTAACATAGAAGTGTTATTTGAGCTGTTTTTGTACAGGAATCGAACTGCTGAACAACTATATGGTTATTCTGCTGCAGAAGCTCTTGGACGAAATCCTATTGAGCTCCTAACAGATGCTCGGGATTATGGTGATGCTGATCACGTTGTTCACCAAGTGAAAAAGGGTGAGATTTGGACTAGACAGTTTCCAGCTAAGAATAAGCAAGGGGATAGATTCGTAGTCGTTGCTACCAATACCCCTTTTTATGACGATGATGGTACTTTCGTCGGTGTTATCTCTATATCAAGTGATGTGAGGCTTTTTCAAGAAACAGGGGTTGCATCGATGGGAGTGAAGCAGTTGGAAGCTGATACGACATTCAGAGCAGTTGGAGCCAGGACCCTTGCTTCTTCCAAACTTGGACTTGATCGCCAACAGCCTCTGCAAGTTACCATTGCCTCTAAAATATCTAATTTGGTTAGTACTGTCTTTGTCTTGATAGTTGCCTAGTTTTCTTTTGTTTTTTTTGGTTCTCTTTACTCTCTGTATACAGTGGTGGCATAAACTGACATGTCAAAACCTCATAATAGGCCTCAAAGGTGAGCAACAAGGTTAAGTCAAAAATAAAGACAGGAGAGAGCAGCGTGCTTCGTGAAAGTGGAAGTGGAGATAGTCATCATTCTGACCACACATTTTCTGATGCTGCTCTCCCAGATCACAGGGAGGATGCAAATTCAAGGGGAGGCAGCACACCTATGGGAGATGTTCACCCTTTTCCAGTTGGGATATTCTCTAGTCTTGCAAAGGAGGAGCACTCCCCAGGGAAAGCCTCAAGTGATTGTGGGGATGAGAGTGAGGGAAAACAAGGAATTTCAACTATTATCACCTCTAAGGCAGAGGCGTGGATGGCAAAGAAAATCTTATCATGGCCATGGAAAGGCAACGAGCGAGAAGCGTCAGAGGCAAAGACTACACGATTTATATGGCCTTGGCTAATCAATGACCAAGACAATGAGTTGAGTCACAGTAACAGGTATAATGCACTAAAACCAAACAATCAGTTTATTGATACTAACCGGACAACCACCTATGAAGCTTCTGGATCCTGTTCATCTTCATTTTGTGTCAACAGCACAAGCAGTGCTAGCAGCTGTAGAAGCACCAGCAGTAGCGCTTTTAGTAAGGTGGGCGTAGATACTGGTCGCCTGGATTACGAAATCTTGTGGGAGGACTTAACAATCAGAGAACAGATTGGAGAAGGTGCGGAACTCCTTTTATGGGTGAAATTGCCAAAAACAAGTCTATCAGTTATTCCAAACTTGATCGTAGAATTTTTGGTATCAGACAAGGATGTAGTTTACTTTCATTTTCTGTTTTCCAGCCACTGTAGATACTTCTGTTGTGCAGAATAATCAGAAGTTAGTAGTCAATTGCACTTAAATGTTGTGTATCTCTTTCCTAAGCTAATACATTTATTTTGCAACGAGCAATCCTTACCAGCTTTAAAGCCATGATATTCTTATATATTCGAAGTTCTTACCATCACCTTTTTCTTTTTCTCTTCATTCTCACTTTTCTTTTATGTGTTTTTTTCTAGGTTCTTGTGGAAAAGTTTATCGTGCGCTGTGGTATGGATCAGTATGTTCTTTGCCCTTTTTTTTTATTATTTTTTTTCCAGGAGTTCTTTGCCTCTTCCGTTCACTAAACTTCCTGGCAATTATTTGTGATTTATTTCTAAACATAGTACAATGTTGATTAGATGTCATCGTATAACATATCGTTCAAATATATATTTGTAAGTTATCATTTATTCTGGGAGCTTATGCTTATAGCCTGAAACACAAGGGCTAAATTCTGGCTTCTTGGTCCCATCATATGGATGGCGTCAAAGTTTAAAATTGCTGTAAGCCAGCAATTTTTTTTATCAAATCAAGCTGTAAGCATGTATTTTTGTAGTATTTTAAATGAGGCATCTCTTACTTTCTTTCTAACCAACACTTGAAATCTAGATCTACTAGCTATGTTTTGTAAAAGGAACACACAGGTGGTTGTTATGCTGGTTCTCCATTCTAACGTAATGATGTTGTTGTTGTGCAGGATGTTGCTGTTAAAGTATTTGCAAAGCAAGAATATTCTGAAGAAGTGATATATTCCTTCAAACAGGAGGTCGTTCTTTCTCATATATCATGAAATGCTTTTGTCTTTTTCTGAGTGAATATTGTTTTTCCATAAAATTTTAAGCTATATGCAGTCATAATGATGGTCTCTCCTTTCGTAGTTGTCATAAAATTGATGTAGCCTTTAGAGAAGTCTTGGATGCAGCGAACCAAGGTTTAAACTCACTGGCAATGTATTGTCCACTAATTCTATGCTTTGGATTGTTGAAGAGAAAGACAAGCTAGAAGATACTGAGCACTAAGTAGAGCCTTTTTTGCTCTTCGACTCTGTGATTTCTGGAAAATTTGAATTTTGTAGTGATAATCAATCCCAGTTTGCACATGACCAATGCGAAGAGGTATCTGCAAATGATGGGAACTAAATGTGTCTAAAACAAAATATCATTTTCCCNTGCCTTTATGCTCTTCGTCACTTTTAAAGCCCAATGCACTTGATCAAGGTATAAGGATTGGGAGCTTTCTGTATTGATGCCTTGGTTTATCTGGAGAATCCCAAATCAGTACATCCATGGTTGTGAATCTATCTTTTGTATTCTACTAATTTTGATCAACTTCCTCTTGGAGTTCCTTCCTATTTTCCAACCCAAATGCTATTTGATTTTATATTAGAGGACTAGTTGCCGAAGGAAAATAGTCCTATAATGAAGGAGTCATCCATACTATGTCTTGGAAATAATTAAGCTTAATGTTTTTCCTTTTTAATTCAACTATGGTTAGTTACATTATGCTTGATCCAGACGCATCCCTGACAGGCCTTTTGCCTACTCTTTTTGAAGGTGTCCCTTATGAAACTACTTCGACATCCAAATATTCTTCTATTCATGGGTGCAGTAACTTCACCTGAACGCCTCTGCATTGTCACAGAGTTCCTGCGACGGTAAATCTTTTTTCTTCTTCATGTTACCTGTTCAATTTGTTTTGCACCTATTCCTTGTGACTGCGTCGGTCTTGTTCGTGTGTAACTGATAAACTATTTCACCTTTTCCATTGTTGCAGGGGAAGTTTGTTCAGGCTATTACAGAGGAATTCATCCAAATTAGAATGGAGACGACGGATCCACATGGCTTTAGACATAGTAAGTTCCTATGAGTTCTGCACTCCCACTTATATTAAATACTAGTATTTGGGTACGCGCGTGTATCCTATCTCAATAAGTATATAGTTTTAAAAATGCACATAAATATTATATTAAAATTTTGCGTTTCAATTATAAAATAAAGGTTAATTAAAGGAAAGTGTGAGTTCCTGAAGATAATAATTGTTGATCTTATTTAGCTAATTCTATAAAAGAAGAAATGTGATAATAGAAGTCTTCATCAATCATCTTTGTTCATATTTTAAAAGCACTAATCCTTTTAACCAAATACCGTTCACTTTTTACTCTCCGTAAGTGCACTCTATATTGGATAAAATTATAAATACATACAAAGTACTTTTTTAGAAAATCATAGTTTTTTATTCTATTAAAAAAGGTCAAGTAATAAATATAAGGAAATAATAAATGTAGTACTTTACATAGGACAAATTTCGTATGATCAAGAATAGTTCTTTTAATTAATGTATTTTTCTAATCCAAGTAGAGTTTATTTGTTTCTCCATAATTAGAAATTAGAAAGACAAATTCATTTCGATGTAGAGCGCCTCAGCTTGTATTTATGCAAAGAAATAAAATTTCAAGAGATAAGTTCATCATAGTTAAAATTGTAAATTTAAAATTGTCTAGCAATATTTTAAATCAAGTACTAATAGTTTTTCACTTGATTTGTTATTCAAGTGATTGACTCACTTGAGTTCAAGTTGACTCTTTTAATAAATCGCAACCTAAACTAAAACTTGAATTCAAGTGAGAATATTACGTGTTTGCTATTTTATAATAGAATAATATTTATGATGTTAAACATTAGGAGTTCTTACATAATTCAAACAAAAAAATTAATATTCGAAACTTTTAGTTTCAAATCTAAACACTAGGAATCGATAAATTTTTAGTTAATTTCAAATTCTTAAATATCAGAAAATAATTAAATGATAATTTTGTTAAATGTGAAATCTATTTTTAAAGATAAAAATACCTAACGATTCCCAAAGAGAATTCATGCTTTTATCTTAAAAATCGTGTCATTCCCTTAGCTTTGAATTAAAATTCATACATTTGAAAGCTATAAGAGAATAATGTTGCTTGCTCTTGGCCAGAAAACTTGGATGGAAGAACCTGCTTGTTTCATTGCCTTTTGCCTTTAAAAGTATTTTTTTCTGTCTTTTAAGAGGGAAATTTTGAAATGAGAAAAAGAAAAATCGACAATTTCTATGCTAAAATAAGATATGGAAAAAACAGACTCCTAGATCTAAAAAGAATTGAAAGTAGGAGAAGATTTTACAAAATAATTTGATTATCGTGTATTATTATTTTTCCTTGACAAATTTATTACTACCATAGTTTAAGTAAGGAAGATTTCATACACAAAATTTAGTTAGATTTTGAAGTCCTAAAATTAGGAAAATAATTAAATGTCTTTTTCTAAATATTAGGAAAGTAATTAAATATCAAGGAAATAACAAAATGACTATTTTGTCTATTGTGAGATTAATTTTTAA